TAAATAAATAAATAAACAAACAATACTAAGAAAAACCTTAGATTTTTCTGATTTTTCCACATTTTTCACTTTTATTATTTTATGGATCTGTTATATAATATTTGTGAAAATAAGAAAGTGCATGGCATTCATCATGTAGTTATTATGTAATATTTAAGTCTCTGAAAGAATACATTGCTTGCATAAATGTATTGCAAAAAAATCTAACTTAAGTAGGAGAAAATGATTTTTTTTTGGGGAAATAAGATTATTTCTAAAAGTCCAACTAGAAACTGATTAATAAAGCTAGAATATCTTCCCATGTAAGGTGAAAAGACAGATGACCTAATTATTATGCTGGCAAGAAGAGAAAAGCAAATTATTTGCACAGGAAAGAAAAAGAAGAGCTTATTTATACTTTTATAAAAATGTATACAAAGTTATAAATAATCCAGTTTTGTAAAGCTTACATGTTAATCTTTCCCTGATGTCAGCTACTATGAAATTATTTTTAAAATATGTCACAAACATAATCAGAAATGCTGTTTGATATATTTTGCTGATTAATGCCTGTTCCCACTTGATAAATAATTGCACTGGGTGCAATATGTAAAACAGAAAGGATCATATCTAAAATTAATTGCTGTAAACTCTGTTTTATATCTTTGAAAATCAGCTTAGTATCTTTCCTGACTTTCTCTGATTACTGTATCTATAAAGGTATAATTTTCTGTGTATTATTATAAATTATTATTATAAATAATACTATGCATTATCATAATAATGTCACTAACATTTTAAAGTTTTTCTTAATCCAAAGTATGACTGTTTTCTAATATCAAGGGAAAAGCTTTAATGTTCTGATTTTTTTCTGTTCTATCCTGAAGATACTTTTAATTATCTTGATTTTTATCTTTTCATTTTATTATAATAGTGTATTCCACTCTCCTTTTTCTCAACTCTGCTCACTCATTTGTTTGTTTCATAGCTTCATAATCATTTAATATCTCCCCTCTAAAGACAAATAACAGTGAAGAGTAGAGAGTGTGATGTGAATTCAGTTTCAGCTATAATACTGGCCTTTATGGTTCAAATAAGACAAGAAAATAATGCAAGAAAAATGTGAAGTCTTATGAGCACATGGGAGAAAAGAGGAAGGTGGCACAACACTTGTTTCCAGTCTAATTTATTTTTGTATATCTCCGTAATTATATAGGACTCCTTGCAATTTACAGTACAGTAGCTCCCAGTTTAAGAATGAGTTCCATTCCCAAGGTCTGTCCTTACATCAAATTTGTATTTAAGCTGGAACAGTATTATTGTGTAATACTGTATAAGTAGTATTGTGTAATGAACTTGAACCATTGTGTATTTAACTCAAATCA